CACTTGGTAGCCCAGGCTGGCCTCGAACTCACAGAGATCCGCCTGGCTCTGCCTCCCAAGTGCTGGGATTAAAGGCGTGCGCCACCAACGCCCGGCAATCTATTGTACTTCTATGTCTCTTGATTCTAACAACTAATGAACTTGTGCAAGAAAACAATGGGCATTTACTTGGTTAATGACTTTATGTGGTCTGTTTGACAGCAGTATACAGTCTCTGGGAACACTGATGTGTTTTGGTCTTGTTTCTGCTACACGCACCATAATACATCGTTGGTTATTGTGTGTAACTAGACAGGAAAGAGGGGTACTGTGGCCGATTCTCTCATATCAACACTCTCTTGAACACAATTAGGAAAATACTCAGGAAAGGCATGGTGTGCCCACTCCCAGGTGCTAGAGATGAATGTGTGTCAGCATCATGCTGTCAGCCAGCCAGAGATTGACAGGCGGAAGGGAAGAGAGGAAGGGAGAAGGGGCCTCCATCTAGAAAGCTTTCCACATAAAAACCTCTAAGTAGGTCCAGATGCCTTAAAATAAAAATATGTATTCTACCACGGTGATTATGGTTTTATGTGCTTGAGACTGACTTTGAGGGTTTCAGAAGAAAGGTAAGACATCAAACAAAAGCAGTGCTTTCCTGCCAGAATAAGGGTTCAGTATGTGCTGCTTTGTGAGCACAGACCAGACGTTATTTTTAATGCGACTGGCAGATGAGAGGGAGCAGCCAGTGACGTTCTTGGTCTGTGGCCCAGTTATAGAATGAGAGGGAGAGAGAGAGAGAGAGAGAGAGAGAGAGAGAGAGAGAACATTGCTGTGTTGGACTCTGCTTCCCTGCTGACCAGCATACTTTGCCCTCTGCTCCTTCATTTCGCCTACAATGTTAAAGCGTACCTCTCATCCCTTTATACACTTCCAACTTTACTCAAGAGCTGACTTATATTACATCTTCATTAGTTTGCTGGAAACTAGAAAATCAGGGTAATTTACACTAAGGCCTGTTAGTCTCCCTCAGGATTTATGTCTTGCGTTTCAAATCCACTACATAAGAGAATGTAGCATGCTCTCTTTTCTTTCCCAATGTCTCATGGAAAATGCCTGAGAGAGTATATTGAGTATTTTAAGAGTGAAATTAAGGAGAAGTTTTCCAAGGGCCATTGCGATGCCTCAGAGGATGGAGGCTATTGCCATCGAGGCTAATGGTCCAGATTTAATCCACAGATAGTGGACAGAGAGAATCAGCTCATAAAATTGCACACACACACACACACACACACACACACACACACTCATGCACACACTAAATAAATATTTAAAAAGTTTTCCATTTTGCTGTAAGAATCAGTCATGTGTTGGGATGGATCAAGCACTTGGATTGATCAATTGTGTCTTTGAATTGATCAGATGGGTTGTTTTTGTGAAATCCCAGCTAACACTTTTTGAACCAAATATTCTCCTTCATCTGTCTGTTTTGTCAAAAAGAATATCTTGTCGGTGTTGGGAGTGTTTTAGTTAGTTGGCTACTTGTCATCTGATATGTGTAATTCATCTTTAAATACACGTAGAGCCTCTGCTGACAAAGCTCTGTCATCTCCATGTTGCTCTTTGATAGCCAGATGGGGGAATGGTTTACATCAGGCTCGATGTATATTTGAACACTAAGGTCCCAGGCAGAGTGGTGTTGCCTTTTATGGGCAGTGAGACATGTAGCGTGGAGCCGCTTTCCTCTTCTGGCCATAAGGATGGTGGGACACGGAGCCTTGTTTTTATGTCTGGATTCCAGTGCAGAATTATTTTCTAAACATGTTTGTGTCAGCAGCCTGAGCCTTTTCGAAAGCAGCATTTTCTCTTGAAGTGCAGCAGAGTGGATGACCTTCAGCTCCAGCCCCCTTAGATCTGATTAAAGCCACCTGACGGAAGTTTATTGCCACAAACTCTGATCTTTATCCTGTTGTCTGTGGTCCCTCCACTCCCATAAGAGCGGGACCTAAATTACATTAATAAAGCTCCACTCGGAGTAATCATCACATTCGGTAAATTTTTCCCCTTGCTAAAGGCAATTTTGAACCATGTGGAACATTAAAAGGATGAGGAAAACAACTTAAGGCAGTTGATTAGTTTAATTCTGGAGTGCGGGATGTGTTTCAAGTCTTGATAGGAAGTGCTTTCGTGTGTGTGTGTGTGTGTGTGTGTGTGTGTGTGTGTGTGTGTGTGTGTGTGTTTAAAAGGACAGTATAACTCAGGAATTGCAATTCAAGCGGACTCTCATCATCACTATTGTCCAAATGACCCTTTGGGTTCAGTGTCATGGTAGTTTAAGGGTTTTGATGAGTGCTTGAGATCTCAAGCCAAAGATGTATAATTTTAATAGATTATGAGTCTACAGGAAGTTTGAGTTCATTAACTCTGTAAACAAAAGGAAGAAGTCTCTTCCTGTAGAATTTGTGTAAGAAGGGGTTTGGTATGTATGGTGTTGATGGTGTCAACTAAGAATTCTGACGGCAGTTAATAAGACGGGAGCTTTAAAGCTTGTTGACTGTACTAACGAGATCCAAGTTGTTACTATCTTGGCTCACAGAACAAAAGGAAGAACCAATTAGCCAGTGTACGTGGAAAATCTGCAGTCTGCTTTCTTAAGTAAGAGAAGCAATTGGGACCGGTGATGCTCAGGCCTATGTTTACCACAGGTCCTCAGCTGGAGAAAGTGGCAGAACCCCCCAGGTGGGCCTGCTGAGCTGCAGGTTACTGCCCCTGCCCCTGCATTTCTAACTCAAGCCCAGGAGGAGGATAATTTGCCCTTCCAGTAAATTCTGACACAACACGCATAGTGCAGCTCAGGGACTATGCCCTGAGGGCTACCGGTGTACCCACAGCTGGCCCTCTACAGAGCAGAGCACAGAGAGGGTCCTGGACAGAGGCTTAACCCTAGGGCATGCACCTCTCCTGAACTCCTGGTCCCAAAATGTTCTTCCTCCTTCAAGCACTATGTTCCTAGAATCACACTCTTTGCCTGCTTTCTCTTTTTATTCCAGAAACATTTTCTTTACTACACCTATCTCTTGTATATATGAGAAATCCACATAAATATACACCAATGTCACAGAACTGACAAATGCCATTTCAAGTTCCTAAGCTAACTGAAAGGCTCGGGGCACTAAAGATATACTTGTATTGCTCCTGTCTGCTTGGGACTGAAGGAACTTAACAAAGACTATTGGGGTCCAGCCCCTCTATAGTATTTTCCCAGAGTCCCAGAAGAGATGCCAGCAGTGGATTAATTAATCTGAGGGATTCTCGAATAGAATAAATCTATGTACACGAAACTCTTTTGCCCATTCACTTTATTCTTCTGAGTCAGTTCTCTCTCTCCACAGCTTCTGTTCTGCTCTCTTACTTAGCTCCTTTCTTGCCTGATTTCTCTCTACATTTTTATGCTGTTCTCTCTGGGTTCTATCTTAGTCTCTTCATCTAGTTCTGCGCCATCTTGGTTCTCATCCATCTAGTTCTTTCCTGTCTTAGTTCCTCTCTTTATCCTTCTAAGTTCTCTCTCCTCTTCCTCCCCATCTAGTTCTTTCCCATCTGATCTGTTCTTCCCATCTCAATACTTTCCCATCTAGTTCTCCTCCATCTGCTTCTTCCTCATCTAGTTCTTCCTCATCTAGTTCTTCTAGACCTCTTCCTCTTCTTCTTTCCCCAGTCCAGTTTTTATATACATACAACCCACAGTTCTCTGGCTCTGCCGCTTTTGATCGGGTGGGGCAGGTCTGCTTGGTAGCTTGGCAACCTGCGTCACAGCTGGATGTACCTGGTAAGTAAAAGCCCTTTAGTTCTGTATTAATTGTTAAAGGGAGAGCTAGGATTAGAGATAAGACTTGTAAGAGAGCAGAGTTAAGCTTAATTAGCACATCTGCCAGGCCTTCTCAAACAGGTAGTCTGAATGCTTATCTATCTGCAGTCAGTTCTTAAAAAGTCTGGCAAGTATTTCCGATAAGATACTTTTATCCGGAGAAGGTCCTGGCCAGATGTTGCTAATGATGATAATTACAGAAAGGCCTGAAATAGGGGGTCTAGCTGTGTGACTGCTTTTAGCACAGTTGGGAGATGTATCCAAATACTTTAATTGTATAGGGGAAATTGTGCCCAAAGAATGATCAAACACACTGTTCTAGGAATAGAAAAGCTACAATAGCACATGAGACGTTCATAGCAGGAAATGGCTAATATTCAAAAGCCAATATCACCAAGAGTACTTAACTCTTCCAGAGAATAGCTTTTGCCATAGTCAGTTGAATTCCTACTTCATATTTCTGCAGCTTGCAGCAGGAACTTAATGTGACACACCAAAGAGTTTTAAGCAAGCAAACCAGAGTTTTACCTCAGATAAACTGCATTAAACTTTTGAGGACTTCAGTATTGAGCCGTCCAGCTCTGATGTGCACCAAGGGCTTTGACTTTTGGTAACTCCACATATATTGGCAATGAGGGTTTGGTGCTCTCTCATCACCATGGAAAATTAATTCTTGGTGGTGAACAACTAGTGATTACAATGGTTTGTGAGTTTCCAAATCTGTACAGTCTATGTGGCACTAGCATTTCATTGTGCGTGTGTGTGTGTGTGTGTGTGTGTGTGTGTGTGTGTATTAGAAAAACACCTCAAAAGGTAATTTCTTTTATCTTAATTTTATAATATTTTCTCTAGAAAACAGTACTGAATAAAAGGGTAGGCATACTGCTGGAATACTGTAAGACTTGTTAATTTCCAAATATATTGGAAAATCTAGTTAAATTCTCTTGCATCATCCTTGGATTCTGCTGCAGTAGATGGTTGCCTGTGGGTGCCCTTTTCTTTGGGTGGTTCCTCATCATTCTGCCCCTTTCTTTCAGAGTTCATCACAATTATGTTTTTACTTGACTCCGGCCTCAAATTCATTTATCTCATTTTGTAGTGAAAATTCCTGTCTTGATGAGGCTAACAAAACACAAAAGTGCGTTTGAAGCCATAAAGCCACCGTACAGCTTAAAGCTTCTGTCAAGCCAGACACTCATCAGATGTATTGAATCAACTTTGAAAGAAAGAATTATGTTCCCGATGATACTACTTTTGTAAGGCATTTTAGCAAATTATAATCGCATTAATTTGTAATAAAATAATTTAAGAAGTCTTGAGATATAGCTCAATGCTAAAGCATTTGGTTCATTCGTGGGAACCCGCTAAATTTCATTGCCTTCACCATAAAGAAAACAGAAACCAAACCAAACCAAACATGGTTTTAGAGCGTAACACCCACCCAAAAAAGGCAAGTATACCAAAATATCAGTGACTTGCAAAAGGATAGGTTAGCTTTAAAATATAGCTGGGATTTTGTTTTGCTATGGTATGAGGAGGCCAGCAGTTAGCAGACAGCTGCCATTGGAAAGATGGTTGCTTTCTCAGGTTTCCACAAAGAGGGGCATGTGCTGCCACACAGGACCCATGAGGAAGCCCAGGCCCGTCAAGGGGAGAGGGGAAGGGATGCACAGAAGCTGCATAGGTTGGTAGGAAGGAGTGGGCAGAACAGGTGAGCTTCGGAGTAGGTTTCCAACTGGCTCACCTGAGTACTTCTGGCAGGCTGGGGTGTCCAGCAGTCCCTGGCTATCCAGTAGGTACAGGAATGTGGAGGCCAAGGCATATTGCCTTTTGGAGATTGAGAGCCAGATAGGGGAGACAGTGAAGCCTTGAGCTCAGGGTTGACTCTTACATTGGTTACGTTTCTTGTCACAGGGACCAAATGCCCGACAGCAACAACTTAAGGCAGGCAAGACTTACTTTGTTCCCATTTCTGAGGCTTCCGTTCCTGGTTGCTTGTCCTTGTGCTGCTGAACGGAATGTTCCGGCAGTGGCGGAGGATCGGGGAGGTGTTTGCCCACTTCCTGGCAAATGAAAAGCAAAGTGAAGCAGATCAGGGCCAAGTACACCCTCCAGAGGCACTCCCGATCTATGTCTTTAGCTCGGCCCCACCCACACCTGAAAGTTTCCACCACCTACTAAGATAGCAGCACCAATGGGAGACCTGGATCTCCCATTGAGCAGCACCGAGTCTGCCATAGCTTAGGAGAGAAATGCTCTTAGGCGGACCCTTCTTTACCCTTGCCAAGGATTAGGTAACCTTGCGAAGGCAGTCTCCTCACAGGCAGTGAGGTCCCAGGTACAAGGAAATAAGAACACAGAAAATAAAGCAGAATATAGCAGTGTACCCCTGTAGTCCCCAGAACACAAGCAGCTGAGGCAGGAGGATTGCCACAAGTTTGAGGCCAGCCTGGGCTACAAATAAAAAGCCTTCATCCAACATCCCCCCAAATAAACAAACAAATAAGTAATGCACACCAGGCATAATGGTACAGACCAATAATTCCAGCCCTCAGGAACAAAGGAATCAGGAGCAGGGGTTGAAGGTCAGCTTCAGTTACACAATGAGTCCAAGCTAGCCTGGGCTACAAGAAACCTTTCGTTACTGTAGTTATGGTTACCTGAGTAAGATCAAGTCAACAGAATCAGGCAGCATCCCAACAGGAAATATTAAGTGGACTCAACGGATTATTATAACAACAAAAGAGAGAGGACATCAGTTGGGGAGGGGTGTGTTGGGGGTACTTGGGAAGAGTGGGAGAGGGGAATTAGGGACTTCTGAGGGGAGTGGGAGGGAGGAGTTCATACAATCGAAGTGCGTTGTTTACAAGTATGCAATTGTCAAGGAATAAATGAAAGACATTCTAAGCAACAAAAAAGAGAGTCTATCTCATTAAACAGTTAATTAATTAATTAATTAATTAAGGGGGATAGGTAGTTGGCTCACTGGATAGAAGCACTAACCATGCAAGCCCAAAGACCTAAGCTCAGTCTCCTGAACTCACATAGAAACACTGATGCAGCGGCACACATCTGTAATCCCGGCACCTCTATGGTGAAATGAGAGGCACAGATGAGAGAATCCATCAGCAGCTCCCGGGTCAGCTAGCTTACAGTACACAGTGCCGCAGCAACAAGGAGACAGACTGCCTCAGTAAGGGGGAAAATGAGAAAACACTCTTAAAAGTTGCCCCACGTCTGCACACGCACACCATGGTATGTGCATGCCTGCACACACACACACACACACACACACACACACACACACACACACACACTTTAAATACAGTAAGAGTTTTTAAAATAAAGAATATGGAATACAGACAATAAAGACCTACACCCTCACTTCCCTTTCTTTAGCATGTGGTGATGGGAGAAGGAACATGGTGACTTCCATCGTAGGTCCCCAGGGTGTCCTGGAGAACCTCTTCCACATAACAAGTCTTCCATATAACAGATCCCCAGGCAATTCCTCCTTGGGGAAAGTCATGGGACCTTCCAATGACTCTGCAGAACTCTGCCTGGATGCTTCTGATAGCAAAAGGCTCCTGAGAATCAGCACAGAGAGAGGTGGCTAGAGTCTATCATCATACCCTCCAAGGGTCAGGTTTCCCATCTCTCTGGTCTTCAGTATGAGGTCATGTGTGAGCCTTGGACCTCAGATCCGGATTTGAGTCTCTGCTCCATTTAGCAGAATTGTAGCTTTATTTTCTTAATCTGTAAAGACAAAAGTAATGCTTCTACATCAAAGATTGTTGTTAAACACTTCCATATGACATGCTAAACACACAGTGGCTGCTCAGTTACTTTAGGAGTTGAATGGATGCCAACTATCCTTGTTGATCATGAGGGACTAGCTCATACCTGGTCTCAATCCTGACTCCTTTTCCCATTTTATAAAACACTCCACACCTTCAAGCGCTTCCAAGGTCCTTCTGCATTGGCTGTTACATCCTCCCACAGACCTGCAGGTGACTGGGCATGGGTGGTTATTTCTGATTTGCGGTTGGATGGAGAGGGCTTCAGAAGGGACAAAGACTTGTTCCCATGGCAAAGTGAGGAGGTCACGGTGGCTGAACTGGATCCCATGGCTACTCAGGCCTGTCAAAAGCCAATGGGAAAAGCTAGCAGCACGCTACCATGTGTCTCTCCAAAACACCCTGTACTTTGGCAGAGAGCAGGAGGCTGCAATGAGTTAACTCTGGACTCACATAACAGAGCTGCTTGTTGGATGTGCAGCAATTGGCAAGTTGCGTGTCATTTCTTGGCCTTAGCAATCGCTGATGCTTTCACTTCAACTGCTTTCAAGGCTCTGTGCTCTTAGTCTTCTTGAATGGTGGGCATTGTCTCCTTCCTTTTCACATCTTTAAAACGATGTGGCTTGTTACATTTCCATTAGTCTATCTATAATATGGCTTTGGGATGGTACCTATATTCTGTGCAGACTAGTAGGGAGAGAGTGGCTTGGAAAAAGTACAAGTGATATTAATATTTGATATTGTAAGGGCTAGGGTTAGAGCTTGGTGGTAGAGAGCTTACTTAGTATGTGCAAGGCCTTGGTTTGATCATAAGTACCTTAAAAATAATCTGAAAACAAATATTTTGAGATGAGTTGTATTAGTTTAAATCATCTGATTTTAGATATAAAATATACTTTCCTCTGGTCTTGGGCACAAGGTTAGCTAATTGAAAAACTTGTTCCTGAATAAATGTGATATTTCCTTGAAGGCTTAAGGACTGGGCTAGTCACAATAGTTTTCTCTGCCCCTCAGGACTTTCCTGGCAGGTTGGTAGATATGGGAGAGGGGAAGCGGGGAGGGAGGGCCCAAAGCACAAGCCTGCAGCTTCTGAGTCCATTTGCGGTGAATGTGACGGGGATCCTGAGTGACTGCCCGTGACTCATCCACACTTGTGTAAGCAAAGAGAAATGCAGACAATTCTCTGAGCTCTCCATGCACCCTCCAGCCATCTCGGAAACACCCTGGGTCGGTCATCCTTTTCCATCTAGAAGGCAGATGACGGACTTAGAGGAAGAAAACTTAGGATCCTCCTGGTCTCCCTCGCTGTTCTATTGCTTTCAAGGGACACCAGGAGCAAAGCAACCCTCACAAAACCATAGCAGGGAGCGTGGTGGCATGTGTGGCCTGGGGTGGCCTGGTGAGTGGGGGATGACTGGCATGGACTTTGGGGACCTCCAAGCCTACCACCTAGAATTCTCTCTGTATGTCTGTTCTCTCTCTCTCTCTCTCTCTCTCTCTCTCTCTCTCTCTCTCTCTCTCTCTCTCTCT